GCTGAAAATTGTTGTCGTCTATCCAACGGGAAGATTTTCCCCGCCATTCATAATCCCTTCTGCAGAGTTGAATGAAAAAAATTAGGATGCGTCAGGTTTCAGCTGAAGTCAGGCCAGCATTGAACACGTAGCAAAGGTAGGCGCGTATTGATTTTACCCAAGAATTCAGATCTCGACGTGCGTCATTTTGGCGATCGATTTATTTCGCCTACGAGAGATTAGTAAATTTATTTAGTTAAGTAGTCTGGTTCACGTATTATTTGTCTTCAGACCTCAGAAAAGATGCGTGACTCTGAGGTCCAGTTCATGCAACTTCCTCCTTATATCCTGGATCTCAACGTGATTGAAAATCTGTTTTCTGTTTTGAAGAGATAGGTCAATGTGCTACCTATACATTGGACCTTGGAGGCAAAAGTGCGATACGTAATAGAGCACAAAATAGAAAATGACTTCATAACAAAGTTGGTGGGTTTGACACCGAAGAGACTCAAAAAAGTTCTAAAGAACAAAAGCAGACTAATCGACTACTAGTGTACACAAACTTTACATCTTGCTTATTATCAATGTTAATTTGTTGTTAATATAAACTGTTCCATTCTCTTTAGTTAGCTCCTAACTCATCATGGTCTAGGTCAACCACTACTGACGAAATGGGAGTATCCGCTACATTTTGAACCATTCCATCTGCTGAGTATAAATGATTCAGGAAAATCACGCATATAAAGACTCTACAAGACTTGTTTATTATTAATTTTGAGAAAACGTTTCTTCATTAGAAATGCTGTTGCCCATACAAACCGACAAGTGCTTCACATGGACCTGTTGCTTCAGTTTCGATTAGACCTGTACGGCGAACGTCTGGAGGAACGACTGTGTAACCGTCTGCTGGCAAGTATCAATAACCTGACACTGCAACGGAAATTGCTGGAAAGGATGGACCTGACGTTCGCAGAGGCACGTAAGATCTGTGAACGTCATGATTACATCATAGATTACAATGGGGAAAATGCTTGAATAACTTGAATGGACCTTCCGTTCTACCCCGGAGAAAAGATGAAAGATGAATCTCCAGGGGTCTGAAAGAATAAAAACGATCAAAAAATTAAAAATAACTTTGAAGAACGGTACTTTTATCAAGTATTATTGTATGGAAAAAAACATTTGCGATTGCCTGAATAAATATTGAGTATTGTGAAACCAGGGACAATGTGAGAGAATTATCGAATTATCAACAGTTATTAAGTTAATTGTCGTTAGTTCTCGGCAATTGAGTCTACCGTATTAATGCTAATCTATTCGTTGAACTGCGCGTTTTAATTGAAAACCTTTCATCACCATGGGGGTTGACATATTTGGCGATCATGGTATGGTCATATCAAATCCGGACGAAACAAATCTGCCATTCAGGTAAGGAGTTTCATGGCGGGAATTCAGTTATTAGTTTCGGGTTGACAAAATAAAAAAGTACCCCCATCAAGCGTATGAGTCATTTTTATGAGATTCTAATTTATGGTTTTACTGAGGCTTCTTTATTTTATAACTGATGCACCAGCGACTGTCGTCGAAATCGAGAAATCGTACATTCCAATGGTAATTGGCCAATGGAATGAGAAACATAAGTGGGTATTAGTACAGATATGTTGCGTCCGGTGTGAGACAATGTCATACTCAATCCTGTGAATGAGCCTAGGAACACTAGGTTTTGGGAGGAACAAATGTGATGAAAGTTCGGGTGTGCAAGTGTTTGATCAATACGTA